ATATCTTAATTACAATTAAGAAGAAAGGTTCAAAAATATTTAAAAATACAAAAAGAGCTAGGCATGGTGATGCATGCCTATAATCCCAGCACTTGAGAGACTGAGGCAGGAGAATCATTGTGAGTTTGAGGCCAGCCTGGGCCACAAAGTGATTTCAAGGCCAGCCTGAACTACATAGATAAAAAGACTAAGTAAATAAATAATTAAAAATTGAAAATACAAAAATATACTAAACATTGCAAGACAAAATTCACATTATCTAATAATCAACTAAAACCATTATAAAGCATGTAAAGGAGAAGGAAAATGTGATCAATAATAAAGGAAAAATGAACCTATTTCAACCTTGAAATGATATACGTGACACAACAAGTACAAGGTCATTAAAGAGTTATCATAGAAAAAGAAAGAAATCATAGAAATTCCCAGTGAATTCAAAGAAATACAAATAGAAAAATAACAAAGGATAAGTAAGAGAAACAAAAAACAAACAGCAAGGAGAAATATTTGAACTCAACCATATCAATAATTACACTGCATGTAAATGGTCTAAACATTAAAGGCAGAGGTGTAAATTAGATAAAGAACCAAGACCCAACTATCAGTCCCAAAAAGAAATCTGGCTCACAGACAAGAAGCAAATAGGTTAAAAATAAAAGATGTAAAAGATATATCATTCTGATATTAGACAAAACAGATGCTATCATTTGAGCTTGATGCACATTCCCAAAGGTCTATGGTAATTAGACTTGGTCCCCGGGTGGCCCTACTGGGGACTGAGGCCAAGCAGGAGGTCCTTAGATGACTGAGGGGTTGAGGCAATTTGCATGTGACTCCTCCACAGTTCTTGTGTGACCCCATGAGTTCTCCAGAGATGACTGTTATAAAAAGGAGCAAGCCCAGCCCCACCCACCCTCCTTGTCACTGTGCTGTTCAAGACGGGACCTCCTGTTCCCGACTCCCCTGTCACAGTGTGCAGCCTTCAGCAGAAGTCAAATGAGGGATGCTCACCTAAGCTTGGACTTGACCCTCCAAACTGTGCTACGTGAGCTTCTCTCTTTATATGTCGGCTACCTCAGGTAGTTCACTAGCTTGACCAACAGCTGACTCATACACTAGAATTCAGAGCAAAACATGTTACCAGAAATTTAAAGATGTATTTCACAATGGTAAAGGCATATATTCTGTAAGACAGCATAAGAATCCTAAATTGACTCTAATACACTAATACGTAGGTCCATGAAAATACATGAAGAAAAACTAAAAGAACTACAAGAAAAAAATAGGCAAATCTACTATTACAGTAACAGATTTCAGCCTCGCTCTCTTGAGAGACCATTACTCAGAAAATCAGCAGGTGCACAGAAGACCTGAACAACACTCTCAGTCAATCTGAGCTCACAGACATCATCCAGGACCCTTCATGGGCCTCCTGCTTCCTGCCAGGTGTGATGGTGCACAGCGAGAGAGAAAAAAAGAAAGAGCAGAAGACAAAATGGCGGTGCACCGGGATCTGGGATGACCAGTTGTTCACAGAGCACAGATGGCCACAAGGCAGCCAGAACCTCAGCTTTTATTGATTGAGAAGGGATTAGCAGATGACTCAGAGGGCAGTGGTGATCTTAAACCAATGCAGCATCTTTAGTCTTAGTCTTAGCCTTAGTCTTTGTCTTAGTGGGCCGGAGAGGATGGCCCACCCCTAATGGAATAATGGGAAATCTCAACTGGGTGGTACCAAAAATCCCAAGCCTCCATTCATCCCTTAGGAAAGTATGTAAAACCAGCCATTGTGAATCTGTGGCTCCCAGCAGTACCTGTATAGGATACTAAGACCATTAAAGGCAGAACTCTGTCTTTTCACCCAGACACAGAACATTCATTATAACACATCATATCTGAGTTAGAAGAGGCTCAATAGATTTCTTAAATTTCAAATGATATGAAATATGTTTTCTGATCACAATAGAGTAAAATTATAAATAAATTACAGAAAAGTATCCAAGAAATCTCCCAAATACTTGGAAACTAAATAATATATTTCTTAATAATCCAATGTCCAAAAAAAGATAGCAAAAAGTAAACTCTAATGTATTTTTAACTAAATGAAAATGCAACACATCAAACTTTATGACACATCTCTAAAGCAGTATTTAAAGAGAAATGCATAAGCTAATCACTGACACTAGGAAAGACAGATCTAAAATTACTGATCTACTTTCCACCTTAAGAAAACTAGAAAAAGAAGACAAATTAAACAGAAAGTAATCAAAGAAAGGAAACAGTAAGAATGAAAAATGAATGAAATAGAAAGTAGGGAAAAGAAACAATGGAACCAAACCCTTTTCTTAAAGGATTATCATTAAAATTAATGCATCTCAAGGCAAAATGATCAGGAGAGAAAAGAGTAAAGAATATGTAAATACCAATGTCAAAAATGAGAGAAGTGACATTTCCACAAATTCTACAGACAATAAATGGGTAAAATGTTAATATTATGCGCAATCTTATGCCACTTAGACATAAATTCATTGAGAGGTACAAGCTATGAAAGGTCACACAAGAAGAAATAATAACCTGAGTAGCTCTGTATCTACTAAAGAAGTCAGAATTACGGATCAGAACCTTCCCACCTAGAACACAGGATTCAGTCAACACCATCTTCCACCGTTCATATAACCAATACCATTCTTGTCTTTTTTTCTTCAAATTATCCCATCTACCATCATGGGTCACACTTTTTTTTTTCTGGTACCAGGAATCAAACTCAAGACCTCATGCTTGCAAAGCAGACGCTGTGCCACTGAGCTAAATCCTCAGCACCCTGTCACATTCTTTTTTAAGTTTTTCTTAAATTAGTATAAAAGCTTCTAAGCTGTTCCTCTTTCTTTCCTGAGGAAATCTCTTCACCGCTTCTTTTGAACAAAAGAAACAACCTTAACATTCTCTTCTACTCTGCAAGAAAGATCGACTTCCTACAGCTCTCTCATGTTTTCCTCATCTTTTGAAACAAAGCACTGACTGCCCTTCCTTTAACATTATCTTTACAAGGATACTTATAAAGACGATACCGATCACCTATCTTTTCAGGGCAATGGCCAGCACGCTTAAGACTTGGGAAGGCACCGTGGCTTCTGAAGCAGAGTGGTTGTTCCTTTGCTGTATAAAATATTCAGGGCTCCTGAACTCAACACTTCGCTCCTGAAGCAAGACCTACTGTGTGCGCAGAGGTCATGTGGCCTTCTTTTTATCAGACTAAAGGAATGGAGCTCAGGGAATCAGACCATCCTGCCCCCAAATGCTACCAAATACCTTGGCCCTTGTTTATTTCTGACCGCCAAGTTTTGAGTTTTAAACTGGGATTCTTGAAACTGTGCAAACCAGTATTTTAGGCAGCAAATAGGGTAAAATTTCAGCTCCTTTGAAGTTCTTAAGCCTTAGGACCACTTGGAGAGGACATCACCACTGTCCAGTTTTCATCCATGTCAGAAAATGTGGCTCTGGCAGGGAGTCCTCAGCACTGACTATTTAAAGCATCCGAGGTAACATCCAATATGTGGCCACAAAACAGCATTCTGTAGGACAGAGTTTGCATTCAGGGACCTCTAAAATCTGATTTAATCTGGGCATAGTGGTACATGCTTGTAATCCCAGCACTCGGGAGGCTGAGGCAGGAGGATCGTTGTGAGTTTGAGACCAGCCTGGGCTACAAAGTGAGCTCAAGGCCAACCTGAACTGCATAGCGAGACCCTGTCTCAAAAAGACAAAAAATAAATAAATAAATAAAATATGACTTAAATTTGGTTTTTGAAACCATTTTCCAGGTTAAAGAAAATGGAAACAACTACGAGACAGGAAGAGAAATATTTTCACAAAAGCCAGTTGAAATGTGGAAGGCAGGATGGACACATAAAAATGGAAAAAAATTAAATTCTAAAGTCTAGGATAGAAGGACACAAAAAAGAAAACAAGATGCATCCAGAACCATTGGGTATTGAAGAAGGTATCTGAGAAAGAGGAAACAGCTAGTGGCTACTGGGGTCCAAGGATAACGGACAGAGGAAAAGAGAGGCACAACCTTGAAAAGTGGAAAAGAATGATTCCCTCAAGGAGACCAGAATCCTCGGAACTAGTACAGGTGGCTTCTTAAGCTAAAAATACAGAATTCTTTCTAAAAAGTAGTCGAAGAGCAGCTCCTTAAATTTAGGACAGCAACATTAAGTTGTTCAAGGAAAGACAAATCAGAACAAGTTGGAGGAGGGAGAACCTGGACCGCCACAGTAAGACACTGCGAGATTGATTAGCTGAGTTTCAGGGCGAGCGGAGGCCTGAAAGCACACACCAGAGCGCATGCGCGAATCAGGACTGGCCGCGGGCGGGCAGAGATGCGGGGGTGGGCGCACCTGAAAGCGGAACTCTGGTTAGATGCTGCTGTGATGGGGAAGTATTTCCGAGGTGGGATTATTAAAAAGCTTAAATAGGGCAATATGTGTTTCATGAGTCAATGTTTTAGCAGTTCCAGAATCTATTACCCCCAGCAATTACATGAATAGGACAGGGCAAAAATGCAAATAATCTCAAGACAAAAAAAAATTACATTAAGCAAACAACGCTAATGAATGAAAGGAAACAACTTATGCAGGAACTTAAAGATAAAAATTTGACTGAATGATTATCGAGGTAGTACACAGAATGGGAAATGAAACCAGAGACAAATACCTTGTAGCTACACAAAAAGATTCAGGATAAAATATTATTACTCAAAATCAAGAATATTTAAAACTTAGCTGTAATGTCTAAAGGTACAAGCCCTTAAGGTACACAGGTTTCATAGCAATAAAAAGGAGCCTCAATTCTGATGTCTCTTGAGAATGATTCTTAGGTAGGTACCAAGAGAATAGCAGGTACCTGAAATTTTGCCCTGAAATTTTTCCCTCTTAGCAGGTTCCTGGGCTTAGCAATTTATAGCAAATAGGAATGAAAAGGTGTAGGGTAGAAAATACCTGATCACAAGGTACTGGACCACTGTATCTGCAGTGTTCTTGCTGGGGTCCTTGCTGTTCAAAGATAAAATAGAAATTAAAGAGTTTGCATATATGCAGAAAAAAGAAGAACCATCTGAAATGAGATCCACAAGCCAAAGTCACCACTACTGTAATTTCTAAGCTTGGAAAAACTTACAGAACACATGGACAAGCCTCCCTCCCTGGTCATGAGATAATGCCAAAATTAACTCTTCCTAGGAGAAATCTCTGACTTTCAAGTTGACTGGTGGTGTTAATCAGCTTTCTTACACTATAATAAAATACTCCAGACTATAAACTTAAAAGAAGAAAAGGTGTCTTTGGGCTCTCAGTTTTGGAGGTTTGGGTCCACGGTTTGTTGTCCTCTTGTTTTGAGTTTGTGTCCAGGCAGACTTCACAGTGGTTGCATGAGCTGGAAGAATCTGCACACTCCGTGGCATCCAGGAAGCAAAGAGGAAGAAAGGGGCCAGATTTCCCACACCCCTTCAGGAGCAAACCCCCAGGACCCTATCTCCCCCACCAGGCCCAGCCTCTTAAGGAATCTACCGCTTCTTATTAACCTCACCAGCGGTCCTAGGGGGACATTCTAGATCCAAACTATATTCAGTTCCACTGGTCATGGGTTTGAAATAGTTGGAATTATGGACAGGGACTACAACAAGTATGAACCAAGAAAATTATCCCCAGCTAATTTCCTTCTCTAAAAAACTGCTAAGACTTTGACAGCACTAAATTCAGAGTTGTGGGAACGTAATTCCTTTGAGATCACTGCTCTAGTTGGCAGGTAGTCTATCTTCCGAATTGCATGTCTGTATAATTGGTGCTCAGACAACTTTTTTTCTATTAGTTCTTTGGACATTTTTCTTCAAACTAAGGCTATGGAAGAACTACTAAGGTAACTGAAAGTATCACATATCATAGTGAAAACTTTTGGCCACAGGCACTAAACAAAGCCTGATTCTGCCCATGTACCATGGATAGAATAGGAAATTGAGAAAGGGCTGAAAAGATAAAAAGGTTTAAGTCCTCTGATTTTAATTTTATTTAAGCAATATAATTTGGTTTGGCACTTGAAATCCATGGGCTCTCCCTGTAATTTTACAATTGAAGGAATTTATATCAAAATGTGGGACATCTCTGTGCGGTGGAAGGAGTCTCAATGTTTTATTTAATCTCCTTGCAAAATTCCAGCAACCAATTTTGGGCTTTACAGACATCCTTAGTTGCAAGATGTTAATTTAGTTAGTAAATTGCTCTGACTTATTTCAGAGCCTTCTGGGTACTAAATCTACAGTGCCTAATGTTTCTAAAAGGCGCCATAATCTGTACAAGGAGAGCTGCCTCGCAAAGAGAGAAGCTGTCCCCAAAGTTTCATCTTTTGCCCCAAAAGAGAAAGCTATACTCCTGGTTGAGCTTGGGCTTAATGATTAGACCCAATGCATTAAAAAGATACCAAAAAAAAAAAAAAATTCATGGAGTAAGACCACAGCAGAGTATTTTGGTCACTTAAAGATGCTGAAACAACGTACCATAAATTGGGTGTCTTGGAAACAACACAGATTTATTTCCTTCATGCCTAGAGACTGGGAGATCAGATTCAAGACAATATCAAGGCTAGGGGCAACCCACTCGGGCCCCCTTCTGTCCCTCTCTTGGACAGAAGCTTTCTTTCCCTCATTAAAAATATTCTGCTCTTAAAAAGAAAAAAAAGATCAAGGCTACGGCAGGTTGGGAATCGGGTGAGGGCTCTTCCTGTGGAAACCATGCTTCTCTCGTGGCCCCTGGGGCAGAAAGGCAAGCGCTCCTCTGGGGATTCCCACAAGGGCGCCAGCCTCCTGGTGAGGCCCTGCTGCCGTGGCTAGCCGCCCCAGAGGCCCTATCATCACCTTGGGGTGCAGACTTCGGCCCGCGCACCTGGGGGAGCACAGGGTCCGGGAGTATGAGATTCCATCCTCGGGCCACAGCACAGACAGGGGGAAGCGCAGCCCACGGCTAGCTCGATAACTCTGGGGACGGGAACTGGACAAACAGAGCCGAGGCCCTCCTCCTCCTGGGACAGCAGCGTGCCTGAAGGGAACACCCATCGCCCTCCACCCTTAGCACAGCTAAAACTTTACGACTCTGCCCTTGGGGAGATGGGCTGCACGGTCCAGCAGGCCTGTGTGTGGTCAAAGCTGCCCGTTCCTGGGTTTATAGGGTTCATCAGCCTTGCCACACACTGAGACGGACGTCCCAGCAGGCCCAGCAACAGCAAAACTCGCGTACAGAGCCTCCCTGGCTGGGCTGCTTCGCCCACCTCACCCGAATCAGAATTAAGACAAAGGGTCCGCAGGAGCATGGCGTCCAGCTCCTCCAGAAACCCAAATCTCTGCTCCACACTGCCACTGTCACCGGAGAGCTCTTACCTGCCGGGAAAGCGGGAAGGAAGAGATGCCTGCAGGGAGGAGGGGGGAGGATGGACACAGTCAAGGCGTGCGCGGAAATGTGACAGCAGAGCCCATTAACTAGTGTAATTAATATGTGTGACTCATTAGAAAACAGGAACGTTCACGGAACAAGCGAGGGTGGGATGTGGTAACAGATTGCTTCCACATGGGCAGAAGGAAGAGGACTTCAGAGATGATCCCAGACATTTCCTCTGCGGGCAGGGGAGCCTGAGAACGGCAGTGCAGAGGGCAGGGGAGGCGGAGCGCTCCGCCGGACATCACTCCTCCCGCCGGCGCATGAACGTTTGCGGTGCACCGTGGACGGCACTGGGTTTGAGCTGATGGCACGCACACACCGGGCACGGAGGGTCCTCTGCCACCCTCGCCGTGCCCCGCCAGGCAACCCCACCCCAAGTCTCCCTGGTCTCCAGAAATTTCACTCCCCAAGCGCCTCATGTCTCAACCCAGAAGATTCTCTGCCTCTTCCTCCTCCTCCTGGTCCTTCTCTTCGCACTTCCCCTCGCACCTAAATCTCTTCAGCCCTGCCGGGGTGACCGCCTGTACCTGGCACCTCCAGCCACCATGACTCTCCCAGGGAATCCGCCCATGACTTCGTCCTGTCCTGCTGCGCCTGCCACCCACACACCCCCTCTCGAAAGCTCAGACACCCTCTACAAGGTGGCGGGGAAAGAGCAGAGCCAGAATCTTTCTCAGGGGAAGCCAGAGGGAAGCTCGGAGGACACGGAGATCACGTTGTCCTCCGGCCGTTACAGTAACTGAAACACGACAGCTCACACGTGGAGGAGCCCGCACGGGCGCTCTCACCCAGGCTGCCCCGTGCCCTTTGGTAGTTCTTTCAGAAAACCGCCGGTGCCGCTCCTGCGGTAGGTAAAGAGAACTGAGGCTTTGGGGTGAAACATTTCCCAAATTTGCAAAGATAAAAGGAAATGCAGCAGAACGAGAATTCAGGTCTGCCTAATTCAGGAATCCTTCGGCTGTTTGTCATTTTTCGTAGATGACAACCATATCTTGCCCATTTATTCCTCACTTTGCAAAAAACTCCCATTTTATTCAACGTTTTCATCCAGAAGATCTGTAACTTTAAAGCACTTGGGATATCATTAGACATAAAAGCATACACAAGGTGCCAGCTTGTTGCCAGTGCTCAAGTACTATTTACTTAGTCAATTTAAAACAGAGTCATATACCTCCAGGCACCCTTCACCCTCCAAATACTTTTCTACAAATTCTCTTGCTTCCGTAAGCCATTGACTGCCTGCCACACTCCACTGTCCGTCATAGCCTGTTCGGTTAGAGCGCCTGCCTTCATCCGACTAAGAGTCTTTTCGTCACATGACGACCACCGCACCTCACCCCGGGCCTCACCGTACCACCCTGTGGAGCGTCACTGAGTATCTAAATGAGTTCCCTCCTCTAGTCAACCGGTTACAGTGGATTAGGCGCAGCGTATGTTAGCTCCACCCAAACCCTCCAACAGCCACCTGCTGTCTTTGGACTGAAGTCTACACTCCTGGTCAAAACCTGGCGCCTGCGACTTTGGGGCACCTCACTGACTCACGCCTCCGTCAGCCTCCTCATTCCCTGAGTACATGTTTACATTTCTTAATTTCAAGTGAGATCTGAGCAGACAGTAACATATAAAAATGAGCTTATCCTGATTTTAATGTACATGCAAAGAAAGATAAAACAATGAAATATGATTTTAATTCAACCAATAGAGTTAAAGGACTGCTAACGTTCAGTGTCAGAAAGACTGTGGTGAAAGGGGATGTGCTTAGTCACTGACGACAAAACTCACTTCGGTATTTGGGGAGCTACTTCTCCCAGGACTTCAGACGGCAAACTTGTCACTCTAGTGATTTGCTATATAGATATTTTTAAACAATTAGCCAAAAATATGTCCAAATTACTAAACACTGTGCTATTTAAGATACTGTACTACCTAGTTCTGGTGTTCTGTCAGTGAGTACATGTAACCATAATATACCATGCATTTTCAAAAAACTAGAAGAAGGATTTTTAGGTTTTTTGTCACAAAGAATTGACAAATGTTCCAGGAGCTTAGCCTGATTTGAACATTATATAATGTTTATATGCACCAAAATGTCTCATGTTCTCTCATAAATATATATAATTTACCTGTTCCCATTAAAAACATAGTACCTCAGAAACAACCCAAATGAGAAATAAGTAACAGGTTAAATAAGTTTTATAGTGCCTGTGCACAATGGCATACTTCACTTCCATAAAAAATTATTTATATTTTATTGCCCTTTATGCATGACACAGAAAGACACTGATGATATATTACTAAATGCACAGAAAACGTGCTGCAGCAAATCTGTAAATCACAAAAAATTGTGCTGAGCTAGAAAAAGGGCAACCGCAGAAGGTTTCAGGCTATGCAGTTCCCTGCACAGAGCATACTCCAGGTAGCAAGTTCTGGAAATGAGCAGGTTTGCGCTCGCCGGGGTTAGAGGTTGGGGCGCGGCCCAGGGGGGCTGAAGGGGGTCCCTGCAGTGGTGAGAGGCCAGCTGCCATTCACGGGAGGGAGGCGCACTTAGACTGAGATTGCTCTGCAGCACACACGCACGGGTGCACACAGGGACAGGGGCGCCATGGGTGCCAGAGGACTGACCAAATCTGAAGCAGCTCAGACTCTGTGGCCCCTACGGACGCCTGATCCTGGTCTGGTACTGGACTGGGGTGTCAGATGCATTGCGGAGGTTGGAGGAAGGGTGTCCGCCAGGCCCACCCCATGCACAGCTCTGTCACCGCTCATGAGTGGATAAGTACTGCAAAACAAAAACACTTTTTAAAACATACAGTGTAGGGCCAGGTGTGGTGTCACACACCTGTAATCTCAGCACTCGGGAGGCTGAGGCAGGAGGATGGTTGTGAGTTTCAGGCCAGCTGGAACTGCATAGTGAGACCCTGTCTCAAAAAGACAAAGAAAAAAAAAGAAAATACAGTATGTGAAATGCTCTTTCTTCACAGAAAATGCAGTACAACCTTGAATTCAAGGATTAAGAAACTCTTCCCTGAGGCTGAATGCTGTTCACCTTTATCACAGAACGAGATTTCAGATTGTGGAAACTTGTTGGTATAACCATACAACCTCCTAGTGACTTTTACGGTAAATATGCAGTGATTAAAAAAAACACAAGCTATAGGATATGTGTGCCTATGTCTCATTAAAATAAGTAAACCTTGATGGGTTAAAGTACAAACTTGTACACCGAACCCCCAATAAGGGCTCCTTCTAGGGACGGGACAGGGAGAACCGGGCACAGGAGGCGGAATCTTATTCTGTACGCTATACCTTTCTGGACCGTGCGCTTGCGTTCTAGTAGGACGCACTTACTCTAAAATGTTAAAGCTGACCAGGGGTGTGAGGAAGAAACGCGAGGGCGAACACTAACGACAGTAAAAGGAGGAGCAGGGGATTTCTCCCCCCGCCTCTGCCCACCACCGTCTCAGGCCCCGAATGTTCAGCAGCACCCCGAACCCAGAGAGAGCTGGCAACGCGGGGCAGCGCTCGGAACGACGGCCCCGCACCACACGGAAGAGCGCGCCGCGGCCTCACACCGTGACAGTTCTCCGTTAGCACCGACTCGGGCACGGGCCGCAGCGCACACCCAGCCTGCACGCCGCGGTGGCAGCCCTGCGACCCCGCACCTTCCTGTCGGCGTGTTTCTCACTCCCCAGATGCACCTTCAAGACATGTACGGGGGCCGGGGGTGTAGCTCAGCGGCACGGCGCCTGCCCGGCAAGCGCAAGGTCGTGAGTTCGATTCCCGGTACAGGGGGGGAAAAAAAAAGTGTATCGGATGCATAGCGAAGTCTTCTTCCTTGAAAGGAAATAATTAATTTTATAATAACATCAACAGCAAAATTATATCTGCATTTTACTACACTTGAAACAATTATTGTACACATGAATTGTTCAAACTTATGACATAACCCAAAGGCGTGACACATTTTCAAAGACATGACATTATGTCCTCTCGATTATTAAATTATCATGATTAGACAGAAGAGGATTTGGGTTTATTCTGATTCAGAATAAAATATATAGGAAGGCTGTGGGAATTTTCTGTTGATTTTCTAATAACTGTGACTTGAGCGCCACCTACCGGAAATGTATAAAACAACATAGACATAAACACGGATGATAGAGACAAAATGAACGTCGTGTTTATAAAATAGAAGTTATTTCATAAGATGGTTTTCATGTAGTTCTGTAGGAATACGACTTACACTCTTACAGAGATGGAGTCATGTCAGCTTAAATTTAACATGAAGAGTTTCAATAACAAAGTGCTTGAATATAAACTTTCTTAGTAAATTGAAGAGCTCACAACTAGATGTTCTCACATTAAGCCAATGTGCAACTTTTAGAATTAAAATTGCATTTCAGTTACCAACAAATAATTTAAACAGGGAAAAACCTGACTCTTCTTTGTTTTCTACATGAAAAGCAAAATCTATTATTACTGACAAGGAAACTGAAACGCGCATTTGAAACACTCCCAAATGCGAATATTTCGTTATTACGAAAAAAAAAAGAGAAAAAACTGAATTTTTCACCAAATATTTTCACCAATTATCTTCCTGGAACTCAGCATCTCACTGCAAATTGAATTAAAGAAATTATTTAAAATATCCGCTATGAGAAAACTTCTTTAGGGTGAGATTGTGTCTTTGTGCCAGATATTCAACTTATTTTTAAGAATAATTATAATGTTTAAAGACACCTTCTTTACAAATTAGAGGAGGCTTCCTACTGTTTTGTTATGCTATATTGAGGGCACTTAATAAAATTAATGCCTTCATTTTTTCTCAAGCTTTTTTCCTATTCAATCTCGTGAACAGCAGTCCCCCTTAATAGCTCCGTGCCGCTGACCCCAGACCGAAGCCGCAATGTGGATCTTCCCTCCGTAAGCTCTGCGCTTCCAAGAGCGCGCAGCATGTCTGCCTGTGCGTCTCACAGACTTTTCGCGCGGGTGCTCAGAGCCACGAGG